CAGACAAGGTTTAATGGTTGCAAAAACGTTTACTTACGCTGCTTGTAGTTGCGACGCAGATGGTCTGGTCGTCTGAACAACTATGTGAGTTGTTCCAGCTGGCGAGGCCCAAGCCAGTTAATCCGTCCGCAAATCAAGCCGGCGGGAAAAGGGTACATCTGGGATTGCGCTTGGCGACGGGAAGAAAGATCGATAGGTGATCAGTCTATCGATCAGCTAGCCGCAAGTCAGATCTCTTTAGAGGCACTCTGCAGCGTGTTCAAAGTTCTTCGACTTGGGCGGAAGTCACACGAAATTTTAAACGGCTAGCAAGCCAATCACTAGCCACCACGTGTGAATAATTTAGAACTGGCCAATAGCGGGACACAAATTTGCATTCGAATAGCGGGAACTCTTTGCACCGTGCATTTCTGTGCTGCAAAGAAGAAATGCATCCTGCAAATTGGCGGGAAGTCTCTTGCACCGAGGTTCTTCTGTGCAGCAAAAACCCTCGCTGTGCAAGAGGCTCTCATGTGGCAAGAAAATTCCATCGTGCCGAGGCACTAAAATCACTGGGTTGTGACACATTTGTGAACCCCTAAAAAATTTTGAATGGAGGTGCGGACCTCTTTGAAAATTTCAAATGGAAGTATGGACCCATCTGAATGATAAGTGTGGGTATTCACATACTTTTGGTTGATCATAGTCATCTTTCACAGACCCCTTAGACATAGTCTGCAGACCCCCAGGGGTCGGTAGACCACAGATTAGAAACTATTACTCTATATTAAAAATTCAACTTAAACATATTTGTATCTTTTCGGTTAAAGTTTAACTGCTGTTCTATTTAAAATTAGTTCGTATTACATTATGTCTAATCAGGAACCCACAGGCTTGACTGGCACTTTTCAACCAGCACAGCTTATGTTTAAATCCATCCTATGGGGTTTATTACATTAGCTTTCCCTTGCAAGACATACCTTTGCATCACAACATTCTGACATTTGTATCTCAAAAACTGGATTCAGTGTCATATAAAGATGGATTGCCCTGAAGTGAATGTGGGACTTAACAATATAGAAATAAATACATAAAATAAATGAATAAATAAATATTTTAAAAAAATGAAAGGTATACAGCAACTTTATTTTTAAAAAAGTAATAATGAGTAGAAATACCCTTTTCTCAGATAGTGGGAGCAAAAGAAGAGACAGGTCAAGGAGAAAACTTGAAATATCTGTCTTTTAAAAATCTTGGTCAAGTTACATTAAGAGATAATCACAGGCAGCTTTCCAGGTGCTTAAATATAACTGATAAGTTCAACACTGCCAAATCCCAATATCCAGAAGTATTACACAAAAATACCTTTCTTAACCTTTCAGGGGAAAATTCCAAACCAACTAGGAACAAGGTGAAGAACACACCAAACTCTCCTAATGTTTCCACCTGTACAATAGACTGCAAAAAAGAACATGGATATATTTAGTGCACTACAATCTGTTTACTGTAATACAATGACATATACATTTTAAAATAATTATGCCATACCACAGGTTATTAAACTGTATGCAGGATTCTAGGGGCTTTGTACACACCACAAAATTGGCCATTAAAGCAGCTTAAATGCCCTTTTGCACTGCTTTAATGGCGCTGCTGTTTACAGGTTCTGTAGCATATTCTGCTTTAAATGGCTTTGGTATGTAGCAAGATAAATCACTTCCAAGGTGTTTTAGTTTGCAACCTGACAAAATGCAACAGTACAAAGGGCCCTGGAAGCTGACGTGCTCGGGGCTTGGCAGGCCCCGTGCAGCTCAGGGGCTGTCGGACCTGGCGGCAGCCCATGCAGCAGGCTCCACTGAAGAAAAAGAAAGAGGCAAGCCTGATCTTTTTTTTTCCTCCCTGGAGCCTGCCTGCCTGAGCTGTGCGGGGGCCCAGTGCTTCCCTCTGTGGCTGCAGGGGAGCCAGTTCTTCCCTTTACAGCTGCAGCACCCCTCAGAACCACCCAGGCTGGGTGCCAGCAGATGGGTGTCACCTGGGGGGCCCCTGCACAGCTCAGTGACCACTTGGCCTGCCAGCAGCTCACCCCTCATCGTGCCACTGAAGAGGCAGGTAAGGATCAGGCCCCCACCCTTGTGTACATGCCACAGGGTTTTCATTTGGTTTAATTCTCCCTAAATTGAAACAGTGTTTTTAAAAACCCACCATTTCAATTTAGGGAGAACTAAACCCCCATGGCCTGTACAAGCAGCCTAGATCAACAGTTCACAAATGGTTGTCCATGGAGCACTTATTGGTAGTACCAACACCTAGCTAGTCACATGATGCTGGTTCTCTGGTTTCAGCTAGTTCTTCAGTTGACTAAGCTCTATTGCTAAGATGATCCTACTGCTTACGTGCCTATTTCTAGGAATTACTGTTGCACAGCAAGTGGAGGAAAGGAAATGGGTGCTGTCATTAAAACTGTACCCTCCACCACCACCAGGAGAACATATCTTAAGAGATCAGAAGAAGAAGAAAGCATCTGGGTAGCATCTCCAAAGGAGGTAAACTAGAAGAGCAGAGAAGCATATGCAAGAACAACACATGAAGAGTAGGTGGCAAACAAATGTGCAGAGTGCTCTCAGAGAGCAGAGAAGCACAACAGATGGGAGAGTGAGATTAAATGAAGACATGAGGTTTCCTCCTCTCAAGTAACAGAACATTCCACATTAGATAGCTTTAAAAAATTAAAGAAATAAAAAAAAAGCCACCCACACATAAATACTTCCCTGCTCCAATTACAACAGTTACTTAGGAAAGCATCAAGACATTAAGTGACTGGGAACAGTAGGGGAGGGACCTGTGCAACTGCAAACAGGTGATACTCCACAAGACTGCTTCTCTAGTAACATGGGATATACATATATACACCATGAAAAATAATCCCTGTTCTGTTCAAGATCTTTATCACTACAGTAATAGTTTTTAAACTTGTCCCTGTATTAGTATGGACAATAATATGCTTTAAAAAAAAAAAAAAAAAGCTACATTACATGTATTATTCATGTATTTACCCTCTCCTCAATTTTCTATCCCTCAAATTTGGTAAAAACCTCTTGCAAAGTAAAGCTAAGTATTTCTGGTCTCAAGATATATTTTTGCCAAAACTTATAACATTTATTTTAGGCCTTTGTTTTATTAGAGAAAAGTATGAAATAAGATAAAAATTCAAGTTTAAAATAAGTACCAATACACTGGTAAGACAACAACATTTTGCTACTACTAAAACAATGGTCCAACTTTGTTCTCACTAGTCATTTTGTTTTTCAGGTAACCTGTGACTAATGTAGTAAGGGAGGGGAAGGGGAGATAACTAGACCATCTGACAGATTTTATACTGAACATAACTTCAAACGACAGTTTGGAGGGTATTGCTTTATTTTATTGCTTTGATTTTAAGATTGTATGGCATGGCTGTGCAGAAAGCAGCAACAGGTTTCAAAAGGTGTCAAATTACAGAGGCTAGTAGTTAGCATTTCTAAAAATCCTATCTTAAAATCCTTCTATCTGAAGTAGTTTTCTAGTGCCTTTATGTATGACCTTAACAAGAATGTGACTTCTTAAAAAATTCAGTACAGAAGAAATAATAAGAAGTTTAAACAGGTGAAGAGATACTGCGGTTACTATTCACTGAGGGACCCATGACATTCTGAAAATCATTACGTCAACAGGAACAGAGTTAGGCCTAAACTAAAAGTACTTTGGAAAATCCCACTCTAAGTTTATGTCTATCTGTAAAGCTCTGAACTCCATGGCTAAGTATATTTTAGCTGCTTTAAAAAGGGGGAGGGGAACTAATTTAGGAGTTTCAGCCACTGTTACAGTTTAAATATTGCCTACATGAGCCTTTAGTGATATAAGTTAGCTAAACTGCCCTAACTTTGACCCTGGAGAAGCCTGGCTATAGTTAGAGTGATTTTGCTACAAAAATCATGCAGATGTAACCATGCAGATGTAACAGCTTTCATCTTTATCCTTTGACAGCAATACAGTTGTTACCTCTCCAGAATATTTTATCTATGAAACAAATCCTAAAAATATTCATGGTTTGTGTTATTGCATACTTCCAGTGTTTGTGAAATGCTTTGTAATCAGTTGATTATAATCCTGCAGCTCAATCCTTACTCAAGGAATTCTTTCACTTTACAATACAGGAAAGAGACAAGAACTATTTAACTTGCACAAGGATTTCATACGGTGTTTATTTCTGTTGTATTTTGGTAAGAAATGCGAGGGCTTTAATAATAATTTAGCCATAATTTAGTGAACAGAATCTCTATTTTAAATAACGTAAACTTGATAAACAATGTTTATTACATGCAACTATTATATATGGATTCATACCTCTTGAAATTAAGGTACATGATGCCTAAGGCAAACACATCCCTCATGTGTTCATGTAGAAGAGGCCTCGGGCTAACTACTTCATTGCTCTGCAGGCCTGAAGATTCTGTGCTATAATTCTCCTGCTATATTCTAGTTCATACTCTTCTGTGTCTGCCTTACAGCCCCCACATGCCTTTATTTCCCTGATAACGGAACCTCCGTATAGGGAAAAAATAGACCAAGAAAATGGACTGTGACAACAAAGCAGAGAGAACAGATGCCATTCCTACAGCAGCAACACCTAGCATTTCCTAGCAACAATTTTAGGGTCCAAAGGAAAAAAAAAGTAGCGATAGCTGTAAGTATGGGTGAACTGACAAAGATTTTTTTGGCCAATACTGATGGCAGATTTTTAAATGAGCCATATCAGCCAATACCAATCCAACTGCTAATATGCAGCCCGGCAGCTTGGAGAATAACATCCAGCTGGTAAGTCTGTTGGGGGGAAGGGGCATGGGGAGCACAGATCGAGGCCCCTGCGGGGAGCGAGGAAGTGACACTGGGGCTGGGGCAGGGGAAGGAGCAGGTGCTGCGTAGCCGGAACAGGGAGTTGGGCAGAGCCACAGCTTGTCTGGGGGGCACAGGGAGTGAGGAAGGGGGTTGGCTCCCACCGCTGCGCATACCTCTGGGGGAAGCACAGGGAGCATGTGCCTCCCCCCTGTTACAATCTGTGCATAGGGCAAGGGCAGGTTACCTACTTCGCACTTGGGGCTGGGGGCTACACGAGGCTCTTCCTGGTGGGGAATGGGCCTGGTTTGTACTTGGGGAAGATAAGGTGGGGTGGCTAGCATCAGTGCTGGAGGGGGGGCTACAGGGTGGCTAAAGCCACCCCAAAGTTCACCATAGCCACCCCATAGCCCCCCCTCCCAGCAATGCCACCCACCCCGAGCCCCCAGCCGGAAAAGCCCATGCCTCCCCTGAGCTGCATCCAGCAGTGGGAGATGCTGCCTCCCTCCCCCTCCCCAAACAAGCTGCTCATGGCTCCATCCCACACCCCACCCCACCTGGGCAGCACCTCCCCCTGCCCCCTGCCCCAGCCTCAGCCTCACTCCCTCCCTAACCATGGGGGACTCAATCTGCCCCCTCCACGCCCTGTCCCTTGTACAGATTTACTGGCTGGATACTGCTCTCCAAGCTGCCAGGTTGCACTCCTGGCTGTGTGCATGTATATGGCATTTATCAGTGACATTATCGGCCACATCAGCCAAAAAAAGCCGATTGTTGATAATGTCAATTTTCCTTCTATTGGTGCTGATACGATATGAACCGATATATCGGTGCACCTCTAGCTGTAACACATGGAAAACCCTACTGACTATGAGAAAATGGGACACTTTCCCCCACAATCCCATGGCCAGAGGAGACAGAGAAGAAACAAATGTTATGTCTGTATATTTCTATAAAATTCACCAATCTTACTCGGGAGAAGTACAACAGATAACATAAAGGCCTCCTGAGGAGAAACTACAGTACAGAAAAGCAGAGGTTTACTAGAACCCCATAAGGAGCCAGCTTCTCACTGGAACTATCTTAAGGGGGAAAGAGGGACGGCAGCAAAACCTTCTCCATTTTCTCTGTTCTGACCACAATTCATCTCTTTGGGGCTGTTATACCGCCTTAGCCTAGCCAACTGGAATTGCTACATCATTTTGCAGTCTTGGTGGACCAGCTTCCCAGAAAGCTGGGCAGACATGATAATCAATAATGGACTGAGTAGCAAAACAGTGATACATGACTGCTTGCTACAGCACAAGTGCACCAAATGGAAGTATAAGTGTTAAGTGCTCCAAATTAATTCCCCCATAGGGTTCCTTGAGTTAATGCAACTTAGTAAAGTTCAATTTTTTTAAACATGCCTTCAAAAATGTTTTAATGTAATAATAAACTCAATTTCCCAACTCTTGTTTATTTTGCAAATTTCATAGCGTGTGAAGTTTTCTTAGCTCCAGAAGCTGAGGCTTCATTATGCAGAAACCTTAGCTTTCACATAAAAATGTTTATCTTCCATGATTGTGGAAAACTGTTTGGGGAAAAGACAAAAATCCAGAAACAAATGAACTCTAAACCCCCTGAAATAATTTGCCCCTGAAACAGAGGGCAAATTAAAGGAATCTTAAGTGTATTACATTTAAATTCTCATGATTTTCCAGGGTTCAACTTATTTTTTGAATGCTTGAAATTCTTAAAGCTTCCTAAAAATGAACACATGGGTTAAAATTAACATGAAAGCTTACTCTCTTACCTTTATACTGTTTAATCCCGATGGTCCCAAGAGTACTCCACAAATGATGTACCCAAACATGGTTGGCAATCCTATCATTGTACACAGCCAGCCACATGGCAAAGATAACATCCCTATGGTCACAATGTCCTAGTGTATAGAATTGATAATACACATTACAGTAAAAGTCATGAAAAAGCTGTGGTGAAATTGAAAATGCTTCCAATGGTCAGAGTTTAGTAGCAGTATAAAAATAAATGGAGTATACAGGATATAGGTTTAAGTGCACAGACTTGGGACTGGGGGAGGGGGGAACTACGAACTTACCTCACCATAAACAATACAGGTTAGCTAAAGGAACAACCTGTGTGAAGCATTTCAGATCTCATTAACACTCAATACCATTTCTCAGATTTCAGTCTTGAGGTGACAGGACCTAAGCAGTTCAATGCTGCTTTAGAAGTTTTGAAACAGATGACTCCTAGTCAGTTTTACCAAATATGCAATACAATTATATTACACTGCAAACAGTGACAGCTGGGTGGAACAGTTCCTATGCACGTAATTGGTTTATACACCTAATGGATATGCAAACAGTCATAAGCTATCAGCTACAGAAAGCTATAAACTATAATCAGATTTATGGAAACTTAACACTATGGATCTCAACATTTGAGGGTCCTGAAACAATAGTATGTTCAGAACTGTAAGGAAATGAGAAACAAGAAAACAAGATACAGCAGACTCCAGTGGTATTTCCCAAGTCCATCATTCTTTTTACCCAGATAAGAATAACTGATAAAAGTTTTCTAGGCAGATGTTGTCAGAGATTGTAGAAATGACCAATATAAAAATTAATGTTTTGGAATGCACAGTACACAGAGGCCTGAAAAAGGGGCTAGTGGCTTTGATGACTTGAAGAAATTGTTGTTTGTTTGTTTTTAAATAAGTCCAAAAGCCTGATGATAGTGTTGTGAAATGTAAAATACATTAGTTTCCAAATCTTCCTGAAGATCAAGGGGGCTGCTATAATCTTAATATGAGTTTCTGATAACAGGAAATAGAATTTGAGATTGTTTTCATTTACTAGACCACAATGGCTAAGTACAGACAGTCAAAAAGCCCAAGGCTGAATTGGTTCAATCTTTGCAGGTTAGTCTAAGCTGTGTAGTTCAAACCAATAAGCAAGTGAACAGATATTCACTTTTGATTCCGGAAATGCAGCTACATGCCTGCAGTGGCCCAGGCCAGAAGCTGGGGGGCACTAGAGCACATCTCCCTGCTGTGTTGAAGTAGACAGCTTGGGCCAAGGCTAGCCCACCCACCCTGCAAAGTGGGGGAGGGGGAGAAAGCATTGCGTGGGAAGAAGAAAGCATCCTGGGGGACTGTGAGTAACTTGAATCTGGAAGGGATCTAGGACAGAAATTCAATAAATTGATTTCAACTTAAGTCAGTTAAGTCTGACATTACATCTATTAAGATTGGCTAAAACCAGTTTAAGGTCATTTTGAAAATGGTTTATGTGCACTGAATTTCTGTTCTATTACAGATTTGAACTGGTTTCTGATCACTTATATTGGTTTACGTGTAATTTCTGTCCCTTGCCCATAAGTAAGTGTCAGAGCCTTCATGATGATTTCCCAGTTGAGTACTCCACAATCTGCTCGGTTTGGGCATTACACGTAAGAACCTGAGGGTTCTTAAGCTTTTCTCCATTCAAATAAGCTACAGTATTGTCTCTAACTTCTACAGCACATTTCCCATATTCAAACAGGCTGTGCATTCCTCTCATGAAAAACAGAACCCCATGATCCTACTGCCTTAGATCCCCAAGATCAGTGATCTTTTCTCTTCAGAGTTCCAACATTATAGGCACTCCAAGTTTACAACTGATCTCTTCAGACATATAACATCAGACAGAGATGCACAGGCTTTGTAAGGAGGCTTCAAAGAATAATCATTCTTTACTTACCCTATTAAAAACAATTATTATATAGAAATATCCCTTGCGTTTGCATTAATTTGATTAGCTGGGTTTAATCAATAAACATATCTACTTTATATAATAATGGCCAAATTAATGTTAAAGCCCTTATATATTTTTAAAATAGAAAATGCAACAGAAATAAACACCAGGTGAAACCCTTGTCTACACTGCTGCTGCAGCTGGCAGAGCCAGACTCCCTACGCAGCACAGGGCAGAAATGATCATAAGTGGCTCTGGGGCTCCCCCATGCCTGCATCTGCAGGGGACAGTAGCAATGGAACACAGGTTCCCTCCTTCCAGCCAGCAGGGGAGACAGGAAGAAGAAGGAGGGAACCAGAGCCAAGCAAGCAGTAGGTGCTGAAAAGAGAAACCTGAGCTAAGTGATGCCACTGCTGTTCCTGGCCAAGCCAGCTGTTCTTTGCAGTGCGGGGCAGGAATGGATTAGGAGCAGCTCTGGGGCTTCCCATGCACCCAGATCAGCGTGGGACATCACTGCTCCTCACACCTCCCAGCTGCAGCTGTCTCATGTTAGATTCCAAGATGAGACTTTGTTTCTCACCCTCCCCTTTGTTGAACAGGGGGGGGGGGGGGGGGGGGGGCGCGCGCGGCGGACGGACCTCATATTGGAATCAAGTAAATATGATATATGCCAGTGAGCTGACTATGCCCTGTGATAGCCTGACTTTGTGGCAGTCCCACCAGTCTGGAACACTGTCCCACAGGTGCAAGCTAATCAACTTAATACAAGACACAAGGGTGCATGTTGCACATACACCAAATTCATGCCACAAACATCCATACATGTCCTGTTGTACCTTAGCATAAAGTAGAGCCAGAACCTCAGTGAAAATGGAAAGCATGAAATAATGGGAAAATATCCGAGAGGGAGGGATACCAAAACCACACACACAGGTCAAAGGAGGTGCTGGCAGGCAAAAAAAAAAAAAAAAAGTAGGTAAGAGTCCCCACAGCAATTTACCTTTATGAAATGATGATCAGCACGAGGAATGGTTGAATCCCTGGGCTTGGTAAGTATATACTGATTGTTCTGGGAATCAATAAGCATACTAAGACCTAAATCATCTTCCACTTCTCTTTTTGACATATTTCTCTTGGAGTCTGCTTCATCTTCTTCCACCCTTAAAACTGCCTCAAAGTTAACACCTCTCACCTGACAGAGAAAAAACAAAACAAAATAAAACCTCAACATTTCCTAGAAGTATAAATTTCGTTGTCAAAAGTATCTGTTTAGAAAGGAAAGAAGGAAATGAGAAATTAAAGTTGCTAGAAGATTTTTCTCCAGAACTTACAAAAATAATTATAGCATTCGACCTTGAAGTAGTTTATCACAATTTATTTCATTAAATGGTAAGCTTGTTGCCACAGTTGAGATTCCATCATTTGTAGTTGTTGAAACATTACATTTCAATATTTTTTTAATAAAGTTGAATTATTTTCAGTTGAAACCCCTGGACTAGCTGCATGTTAACACCTTTTAAGTATCTTAAAGCACTTGTTATTTGATTTAACGTTATGCCACTCCAGGGCAGGATTCTCTCTAATCTGTCTAAATTTGCTCCTATTCCATTAATTTGTGGCCACTCTCAACCGCTTTTCTGCCCAAGTTAAAGTCGTTCAGCATCCCAGAAGGCAGTGGGCCCTCCTGAGTCAGGGCAAGTGGGGATGCAGGGGCACAGAGCCTCATCTAGCCCTGGGAAATGTCTGGCAGAGGGAGCACTGAAGCCCCAGAGTGCCTGGCACTGCAGAGGATGGCTCCCGCCACTGCTGGGGCTGGCGCTGCTCCCAGCAGGAGCAAAGCAAGCCAGCTCAAGTGGATGGCACCACCTCCCTCCTGCCACTGCTCAGACCAGTTCTGCTCCTGGGAGCAGAGCCGGTTGGAGTGGTGGTGGCAGAGAAGGGGTGTCCCTACCCCGCTTAGATCATCTGACTCTGCTCCCACTGGGAGAAGAGCCAGTCAGAGCGGTGGTGGGGAGGCAGTGCCCCCTCCCCTTGCCCCCCACTCAGACTGGCTCACTCTACTCCCAGTGGGAGGAGAGCTGGTCTGAGCAGCAGCAGGATGCACCACAGCTACCAGGCACTCCAGGGCTGCAGCACTTGCTCTGCTTGGTGGGAGCTGTGAGCCTGTTCCTCCCCTAGCTCCTAGTCCTGCCCCTGCTCACCAAGTCTCTAATGGCAAGTCACAGCTGTGTAGATGAAGGACAATGAGAGCAGGGTTTTTGCCTTAATGTGCGACTGCTCCACTAAGCCAAATAACAGTAAGTGAATCAACATTTGTGCAGCTTTCAGCATAAGGTGCAACATGGTCCTAAATAACTCTTCAGGTAATTTGAAGACTGCTATCAAATCCCTCCTTAGTCTTCTCTTCTCTTCTCTAGACTAAACAACCATAGCTTTTTCAGCCTTTCCTCACAAATCACAGGCTTCTAATCATTTCTGTCATTCTCCGTTAGACTCTTTCCAGTCCATCCACATACTTCATGAAATGTGGAACCCAAAAATGGACACAGTACTCCAAATAAGGCCTCACCAGTGCTGAACTAAGTGGAAGAAGAATCACTTCCCTTGATTTGCAAGTGACATTCCTTTTGATACAACCTAGGATGCTGATGATTTTTTTTTGTTTTGCCACAAGAGCACACCATTGGCTCCTATTCAGCTTAAATTCTACTGCGACTCCCAGGTCCTTCTCTGTTCTCATTTACGATAATAAAATGTAAAAAAGCCTGTCAAATGTTTCTTGCTATTCTGAAGTAGGATCAAAAGAAAGGCCCTGAGCTGACATTTCAACATTTCTTTTCCCCTAGCAGACACAGGGAAAATGGGGGAGAAGAAAAAACCCATAGAGAAAAATGAGCCAGTCTTCCTCTTGCCAGTTAGCAATAGCAGCAACCAGCAGTTAAATCTGGGTTTCTTCCACACCACCTGAGAGTGACAGGGAAAAGCTGTTAAATTCCCAGCTTCAACACATACACAGAGGCTTACCTGGAGGATGCTTCCCACCATATGTAGAGTGCCAACACGACATTGCAAGTAACCCAAGAGATTAAAAGCAATGAAGTCAGAAGTGAATGAAAACAATACAACTAAATTGAAAGATCACAAACCTGTTTCATATTCTACCTTGTACACCATTTCTTTTCCCAGGCCGTGAAAACAAATTTCAAGAATTCTTCTTCTCCCATCAGGCAGGCAAGATTCTTTGGGTAAATGTGATATCTTTTATTAGACCAACTAAATAGTTGGAAAAATTGCTCTTTACAAACTTTCAGGCACAAACACCCTTCTTCAGGCATAGGGAGAGTCTGCTGGTATGCTCTCCTGGGTGGAATAGAAACCAACATGCACAGTGCAAGTCTGTGAAAATGAAAATGTGTGGCAGGGAAGATCAGAGGGGACAGGAGAAAATAGCTGCAAGACAGGCAAATGGGGGAAGAGGGGGGAATTTTGACTTGGTGATAGAATGTAGCTGGTAAAATGAAGAGAGGTTACTGGGGCTGTCCACTGGCAAGCAGGTTATAATGTGCCATAAATCCAAACAATAAATTTCCCTTTATATTTTCAATAAGAGATTATCATCATCATCATCTAATAATAGAAATAAAACTTTAATCCTGTATCTTGCAAGCCTAGATATCAGCATCCTGACCTTGAAAATTGTGTATGTTGTGATGTGGAACACGCATGTCAACAATAAAAACAATGCACCAGCAATTGTATGAGTTTCAATTGAGAAACAAACACACTGCTGAGAAAGGAAACTACTAGCTTCATGGCAAACAGTAAAAAAAAAAAAAATTCACAAGTCTCTATCTATAAGAGGTGCAGGATAAAACTTATGTAATAACATTTGAATATTTAAGAAAAAAAAATCACCAAGTTGTGACCACAATTTAATAAATTTGGCACCACAACAGCATCAATTCAATACTTAGTTCAGACTAAAAGTGAATGTACACAAATCAGATGCCAAAACAGTTTCTAGACTATCACTTACAGATTTGTTGTCATCAAAGGCATGTTCTTCAATTTCCTCTTCCAGTCTATCAGCTGCCTTCCTGACATCTTCAAGAATTTCATCAAGCATGGACAGGCTTTTATTCTGATGCTGCATATTCTTGATGGCTTCAACCTGATGTTTTTCTGCTGCTAGAAGCTCAACATATTCCATTTCCTCCTATTGGATTTTACAGCAAATAAAAATGAGGTGCTGTTTTGCTCTTTGAACAGGATGATCTTGCCTGATGTTTATAGCCATTGCTTTTGAAACAAATCATTTTTATGAATATTAGAACTGCCCAGCTGATACAGCAGTTCTTCTGGAATATTGCTTTTTTTTAACTGTCAGTTTATATTATTTGAAAAGACTTATCTGCCAGTTTGTACAGGTGGGAACCTCTGTTTTATTACAGTTTAGAAGCAACTGGAAGGCTCCAGATGAGGGAGTATTAGAAAAGGAGCATCTCAAGGTGCTTTCAAGGAAATATCAATTGCAGGGCCAATATACACTTAGAAGTATGGCTTTGACAGTCAGATCAAGCAGAACAATGGAAAATACACCAAATCTTAAAGTTTTATTAAACCTTATATAAAAGTAAAACAGAACCCCCTGCTGAATGAAATATCAATTACAGATCAGAGAATGATTCATTTCAATCTTTTGGAGATGTATTAATTTAGGAACAATATTTAAGAATTTGGAAACTAGAAAACTGTGACAGGATTCTCCTTTTTTTTTTTAGATTCACAGCATTACTGACAAATGCTATTTGGACCTTCATAGAGCTAACATCAAGGCCAAAGGGCAAAACAGCATTGCACAAGTAATTCCTGCATTCATAGATGAGCTCATTCTCTTCTTGAAGTGAGCAAATCCATTTTATTTAGTCAAGAGGAACAGATTATGTCTCCCTTGATGTTAATGCTGGGACAACAATCTTTTTAGAGTAAAACCTGTTACTTCAGTCTGCTCTTTCAAACCTCCTCCTGCTTAAACTCAAGCCTTATTAACACATTCAAGAATTGTCAGAAACCAATCATATTATCATAGTAATACCCTTATCAGGGGAATCACTGTTGGTATTACTGGAGTAAGCGGAGTTTGGGGGGAGGAAGGGGAAGGTGGAATAAAAAAAAATAATAGACAAGGTTTTATCTATTGGCAAGGCCAAATACTGGCCTTTATTTCTTCATCTCTGGTTTCTGGTAACAAACATTTGTGTTTTCATAATTTTCCTAAAGACTGCCTACTACTTATTCTTCTCTAGCTCTGTTAGAAAGTCCCGTTTAAGAGGGAAAAGCCAACTTCATCTACAAGCTCTAGACCAATCCACAGACACTTTATTTGGATCGTAGTAGCCTAGAACACAGGATGCATTTAACAGTCAAGTTTCCTTCCATAAAAAAGAGAAGAAATTATTTTGCCACCTCCTTCCCCCAATCAGAACAGTTAGTTGCAACTATCTCTGTTTACTTGGTGGAAACAGCTTCAACTGTATCAGAGATGCTTCTCCCCCTTTCCATCCACTCCGTAACTTTGTAAGCAAACATCCCAGGGCTGCACTGGAGCAAGGGGAGTCACATAAGGAATGGCTAAAAAGAAGAAACATTTTCATCTCTTACTGTGCGCAAGGCAAAAGTGTGCACTGTAGTATACCCACTACACTGTGCCTCACAATGGTATGGAATGAGATGCCTTTTTAAAATGACATTAAAATAAAAGTTCTTGACAAATTTAATTCACTGGTTAATACATCAAGAATTGGGACCTATTCTCCTCTTGCATGTCTACCAACAAGATTCAGAGCAAAGTCCTATAGAGAACACCATCTTGCTTCCGCTGACCTGTGCTGTTAAGAAAGGAAACAGTGGCATATTTCTACCAGGATGCATCCCCAGACCCTGTTTATTGTTTTTCATATCACCACCTGGTTAGTAGATGCCCAGTAAATCTGAAGCTCCCAGAAGGTAAGCTGAAGTTTCTGTCACTTCTCTTCCTAAGCAGCAGTAGAAAACAAAAGTAGTCTCTACCATTTTATTCCTCTTTTAGCCTGCCTTTTTTGGCTGTCCTTCAAAAAAATTGACACTTTTTTTCAAGCGAGATATGACATTTGCCCAGCACTCAGCTAGAAAATACTTCCGTCCACTCGGAATAAGGAAATGAAAGAAACATTACTATAATCCTTGGAAATCAGCACCTAATCACCCAGTAGGAAATTGAAAAGGAACATCTTGTGGATACAAAGTTTAGAACACCACAAGAAACTAGAACAAAACTGGAAGTAATGCAGTCACTGCAATTTGAAAGCAAGTGATCTTAAGCATCTCAGGTAAGCTTTCTTCCCCCCCCCCCGCCAAGTGTTATAACTTACTGAATTTCCTATAATAAATAATGAATTTGGGAGAAAAGACACTATTTAACCAACCACACACTTGCTAGGATAAACAGTCAGGTAAAAGGAAAAAAATATCTTTTTTGTCCTAAATAACATGTTGACCTAGCTCACAAGAGAACCTAAATTCCCCCTTCCTGCAGAATCTAAACTTCCATTTAAAAAGAACTTCTATCCCAGTATAAACATAACCTTTCAGATGTGTGGCAAGTGTGACCTAACAAAGTGGCCTTCTCAAGAAAGCAGACAGATTGCTCCAATATTCCTTTTGTGATGGTTTCCTTGTCAAGAAGCTGAAGAGTGAAATAAAGAAGTGGAAAGCAGTGGACATAATATACCTTGATTTTAGCAAGGCTTTTGATACCATCTCCCACAGCATTCTTGCAAGCAAGCTGAGGAAGCATGGATTGGATGAATGGACTATAAGGTGGATAGAAAACTGTCTGGATTGTCCAGCTTAACAGGTAGCAATCAATGGCTCAATGTCTAGCAGGCACCCAGTATCAAGTGGAGTGCCCCAGGGGTCAGTCCTGGGGCCTGTTTTGTTCAATATCTTTATTAACAATCTAGAAGAAGGGAATGGAGTGCACACTCAGCAAGTTCGCAGATGACACCAAGCTGGGGGGTGCAGTAGATACACTGGAGGGTAGGGCTAAGATTCAGAGTGACCTAGACAAACTGGAGGATTGAACCAAAAGAAATCTCATGAGGTTCAACAAGGACAAGTACAAAGTCCTGCTCTTGGAACGAAAGAATACCATGTATCACTACAGCCTGGGGACTGACTGGCTAACAAGCAGCTCTGCAGAAAAGGACCCAGGGGTTACAATAGATAATAAGATAAATATGAGTCAGCAGCGTGCCCTGGTTGCCAAGATGGATAACAGCATACTGGACTGGGCTACATTAGCAGAAGCGCTGCTAGTAGACTGAGGGAAGTAATTATTCCCCTCTAGATGTGGCCTTACCAGTGCAGAATAGAGTAGTGTCCAGTTTGGGCCCTCCCCCCACTACAGAAAGGACAAGTTGGAGACAGTTCAGCAGAAAGCAACAAAAATGGTTTGGGGGCTGGGGGACATGACTTTTGAGGAGAGGCTGGGGGAACTCAGATCCCGATGCGAGGAAAAAGAGGGAATCCCGATGCGAGGAAAAAGAGGGAAGGGGGCCAGGAGGCTTCCTTGGCTGACCAGAGAAATCCAGGGCAGCCTAAGGGCCAAAAGGGGAGCACATAAAAAGTGGAAACAGGGAGAAATCACCAAAGACAAATATACCTCCTCTGCCTGCGATTGTAGGGAGGCAGTTAGACGGGCCAAAGCTACCATGGAGCTGAGGATGGCATCCCAAGTAAAGGACAACAAGAAATTGTTTTTTAGATATATAGGGAGTAAAAGGAAGGCCCAGGGAGGAATAGGACCCCTGCTAAATGGGCAGAAACAATTGGTGACGGACAGAGGGGACAAGGCTGAACTCCTCAACGAGTTCTTTGCCTCAGTGTTCCTAAGCGAGGGGCATGACAAGTCTCTCACTGGGGTTGTAGAGAGGCAGCAGCAAGGCGCCAGACTACCATGCGTAGACCCTGAGATGGTGCAGAGTCACTTGGAAGAACTGGATGCCTTTAAGTCAGCAGGCCCGGATGATCTCCATC